TACGGAAAATACGCCACTCGGGTCCCGGATGAAGTGGCGTATGGAATCTACGAGTGGTTTAGTTCCCAGTAAAACACTCTTCTCCATATAATAATAAAAGTTATTACAGGTTTGCTTTGAAATAACTGTAGTGAGGAGGTGTCACGTGTCTCCTGATATGAAACGTATGAAGAGTTTTAAAAAGTTTGACCTAGGGTGGATCCTTGTTCTATTAAATTTACACTGTTACTATGTTCTTATTATATTATCCCTCAGTTACTTCGTGCGATGAGATTGGTCAATCTAGAGGACGTATAGAGCGTATTTACTCACGTGTCCAGCAGCCATACAAATTTATTGGAACAAAAGAAAGTGTTTACAAAGCAATAGAGTTCAACTCCCATAGGATTGGTTTGGTAAACCAACATGGCCGCCATTTCAGTGTTTTGGAACACCAATATGGCTGCCATGACGTCATGTGAAAACTCTCTCTTTTACTGCGTGGCTCGCTAAAAATTGAAGCTGTTTTTTTGTCCTGCCCAAATGTCACCTGATTTATTGCCGATTTTTCTCAAGGCGAGTGACAACTGAACGTGTAAAACTCTTATTTATCTTAAAATGTTGACGACATGTATTAAAACGGACGTGCTAACGACTAAGCAACGATTTCGAAATGATTCATTTTCCTTTTGACGTACGTAAGTGTTTCAGTGAGCCGCTCTGCCTGAGTCCAGAAGCTTTCCCGAACCTGTCAGACACACAGTAGAGAAATAATAAATATCTCGCTAGCTTCTTCTCCTCCGTCCGCACTACAAGTGGCAGATCCTTGTTTTTGCCTGTATCGAAGGGGGGGAAAGCTAGTCTTTAACCCCTTACGGTGCAAATGAAACCTCGAACTCGGTTAGCAAGCTTAAGGGGTAGTATGTCACGGTACTATCCGTGCGGAACATTTTTCGGTGATAAGATAATAAAGCTCACTGTGTACTCCGCTGTTTCGTACCTGCTCTTAGAACAAAGCCCCCCAAGAATGAGAAATAATGAGTTTTAGATTTCAATTAAGATCGCCAACTTGTGGCGAGATTATCACTTTGCACTTTGCCCTAGAAAACCAGCGTCCATGGCCTTATGAAACTTTAACCACTACCGCCTAGGAATAACATCTCAATAACATTTTAATGACCTTAGGCTGATCATTTGAAATTGCTGTTTTGTTCTGGTAACAAGCATTTGAGGATAGCCTTCCCGGTTGTAGCTTTTGCCATCTTAGGAGGTATGTGAGTTTTCAACATGTTAACAGTAACATGGCAGTATAAATATTTTCAAAAGGATTAAGTGTAAACACTTAAACATTGTTAGGTTCGCCAATTGATTTGAGCTGTAGTCCCAGGAGAAGACATCTGAAACATAACGTTAATAACTATTAGGACTTTTGCTTTTGAAATCTAGCAGTAAAATGATTTGATAAAATCTATTGGATTATTTTCTTTCTTACCCTGTGTTTTGTATTTTACAATATTTCATTCAGTTCAAGCAACCGTACAATCATAATCGTATTCGAATTTTTCGGATTTTGAGTGAGGATAGGTAGAAATAAGACTCGAGCCTCGAGAAAGTTTTAAAACGATACAAAAAAACTTCCGATCAAAATACGCAACGTCTCTTTGAATTACCGTGACGAGGGCAACTGATCAATGGCAGCCGTAAACTGGCCTAAGTTTATCCGCTCGTTAAGCGCTCTCCAATCTCATTTCACAAGCTTTCGTTAAAAATAATGTTAATAATGGTTTTGTTCATTATCCAGTTAGAGCAATCATTCTTTGACTTTTACGCGTTCTACCCTTGAACTCTTCGGTCAATTTATAGGAACCTCGATGAGGTCTCATTGAATGTATTTTCTTTTCCGAGTGTTCAAAACAAGTTAATATTTTATGCGTCGCACAAATTTGTTACACTTTCACGGGAATAAATTGGTAGAATGCGAAAATTATTTTTTCTTTTGAAAAAAACTATCTTAAGGATAATGAATTTAATTTTTTTAATTGTCTTATTAAAAAAAAAAGGGTTTTATTAAGTAGCTTCTACACTTCGCCGGAGAAATTTAAAAAGCAGCTTTATTTCTACGGATCAGTCACGAAAACGGAGCTTTCCGAAAATGAGAAACCAGAAATTGCAAGAGACCGCATTCGATAAACGCTGCCAACGTAGGATCTACAAGAGATCTGATCAGTCAATAAAACGTAAGACTGATACTACATGAAAAACATTTCGAGACACCAATATGACAAGAACCGATAAAGTAGGATCGCAACAGTGGACAGCTGTTTCGCCCTTCTTGGGGCTCGTCAGCACTGTGTAGCGAAGATATGTAACGCCAGCCCATCAGCCAACGCAAATAAATTGCAAAATGACCCGTTCACTATATGACCCGTTCACTGTCTTTTCGAAAACGCTCTTCAAACCGGAGGAATTTAAAAACGCCGGCTTTTCTTTTCCTTGTGGAAAAAAAACATTTTGAAAACGGGGCTTTAGGACGATTTAATCACGATAATCATATGATTTCCCCGAAGGAAGTTTTCCTCAAACAAAAATCCAAAATGACCGGTGATTTTTGCGTTTTTACCGGCGTAGTGTGGGCGGTAAACATTTGATGTGTTTTCGAGTGAAACCTCCGTTTTCAAATTTCTCCAGCGTAATGTGTACGGGACCTTAGTAGTTGTCAGTCATCAAAGCTAACCCTCTTTATCTATAACATTAAGCCCGACTGTTCTAGATTGCGTTTTACTAACGTTGTTCCAAATCAGAAATATTGCGTGGTAGAAGCTAATCATGAGAAACATTGACAGGGACAAAAATTCCTTTTGATTATTTCTGGCTACTTTTCCGGTGCATTTCATTTTTGTGATGTCCTTTAAATTTTAAAGAATACTATTGGTGAAGACTTTCAAGATGACGTGATGCGTAAGCCTAACAGTGATACAAAGTTCAATCTATCAGAGTTTTTTTTAACAAAACACTTTTTTAACCATGTTTTATTTCAAGCAATCGTGTACTCGAGCTCATAATCTTTTTTCAATTTCTCAGAATTTGAATGAAACTGATAATTATAAGTAGAAAACAGACTTAGGCCTTCAGAAAATTTTTAAAACTTCTTTAAAAACCCTTCCGGTCAGAATTACGAAATGAATCGATCGTCCAAGCCAGTTTGGTTTTTTGTTCTACTGGGGAATTGAGCTCCACTGTGAGCGAGAGGTGCTCTGCTGCTAACCGAGATCAATATTTTTAGAGAGGAATCCACATCAGCCTTACGTGGATTTTACGCGGGTCCTCTATCCTGATCGAATTGGAATTTGGAGTGTTGGTTTTGGAGGAGGAAGGAAAACCGGAGAACCCTGAGAAAAACCCTCGGAGTAAGGCGAGAACCAAACAATAAACTCAACCCACGTATAGTTGAGTTTGTTTTTGGTTCTGCTGCGCTCATGTATGAGTAATTTGATTTCTGGTATGACTCACGGTTTCGTATGGTTGCAGGCAGAACTAAAACACTTTACTGAAATAAAAGCTACCTGTCATATTTGAATTAGAGCCAATAGCATTTGAAGTTTGATAATTAAGCATTTTTATTTGTAATTTTTATCTTTTGGAAATCTATAAACATTTTATCATATTTGTACATTTTAGCCTTTCAAGTGTTTTTTAAAGTTTTTATTATTTCTACTCTAATTTTAAATTTCTAAATTATTCTTAATTTTTTAGATCTTATAGATTGTACATATCTTATTCCCCAGGGTCCCTATGGATACCAGCCTCGTTGCTGAATGGGCTACCCTGGTTAAATAAAGTTACTTACCACTAACTTACTTACCTACTGTTCAATGACACTATTCCACTATCGCTGTCCACATTCCTTTTGATTAAACGCAATTTTTATTATGTGCATGCACAGGTGCTTAAAAGATGATGTTTATCGCGAGTTTCTTGGTTTTCATAATGGCTCATCGACATTCGGTAAGGATTATTCAAGTTTTCTATATTATTATTGATCGAGCCGCATGTAGTGGCGAAAGTAGATTTATGTAAGTCAATCGCGGCGCGCTAATGTTTTATCCTCGTTCCATCAGAAAAAATATTTTGTTACGTGGCTTGAGTTTTAGTTCAAACTAATGCCTGCTCTAATTGGTTGATTCATAGTCACGTGGCAACGACCTAATCTAAATATTGGTGCCGCCTGACGATAATTACTGCTCTCAGAACATTTTTTAATTTATTTTTTACACACACAAAAACTTCTAAAAGCAAAATTCGAACATTCAAAGCGTCACAGTGTTCCAAGTAAACTCGTTAATGATTAAGCAAGTTTAAACAATAGAAGCCTTAATCATGACGGTGTTTATCTGGTCTCAATTGGCATAGATTTTTATAATTTTATTGCTCCGTCTCGATTGAGAAGATTTACCAAACAAAGTCACCACATTTCGAAGCGCCTCGAAGTTCATCAAAAATACTCCTCTACGCGTCGTATTTTCGGCTTTCTTCTCGGTGTTTTAGCACGTGGTCAAACACACTCTTTCGTGTATGATATATTACAAGAAGAGAGTAAAATACGACGGGTAGTCAAGTATTTTTGACGAACTTTGAGGTGTTTAGAAATGTAGTCAAATAAGGTCTTGAGTGCTAGATATATTTTCTCAACCGAAACCAGTAAAAACTAAGGAGAAAACAGAGAAATGAAATCGTAGAAATCTAAACAAATTAAGGTCAGATATTCAAACTCCGTCACGGTCATGCTTTTCCTTGTTTAAGCTTGATGAATTATCAATGAGATTGAGAAAGTTTCGATCAATAAATTCATATCGTTATCAGTTTCCAGGCAGGCGTTCTGAATGGGGATAGAACATTCGCTATACAAGATTGGATTTTTTTAAGGGGGTAGGATACCCTCAAATGGACCAAAAAGTTTGTTTAAATATGGTGAAGAAAGATCAATTGTGTGCTATTGCGCTCAAGAAGAGAAATTAAATTTC